TTTATAATTTTGGAATTGAGGTAAATAATTCGATGAGGAAGAGTGTTTGGCCAAAGTTTCTCCAAGTTTATTTGCAATATCAGATTGACTAGTTAATAATTCGTCTCCATCTTTAAGATGCTTTAATGCTAGATTTAGAACCCTTACCTTTTATTTTCTGGATCATATTCCATACTTTTGATATCGGCGTTCGTGAATTTATTTGTGATACGTAATTTCGCCAGGATTGACGTTTATTTTGCTTGAAGGTACACCGTGCCTTAGCATTTAAAATTTTAAATTTATTCAAATTATGGACCATAGGATGGCGACGGAAATAATTCTCAGCTTTCTTCCGTGCCTTCCTAGCCTGTTTGCACTCATTGTTGAACCATGGTTTTCGTATGTGTGGAATTGCAGAGGATTTGGGGATACACTCATCAGCAATATTAATTAGTTCATCAGAGAAATCCTTTATAGGATCAGTACATTCTATAAAGAGTTCGGGTTTAAGTCTGTTACAACACAGAGCTTGATACAACGGCCAGTTAGCTTTTTTAAAGTTCCATCTCGAATATGGAGTAATATCAGTTGGGTTTATAGGTTTAAGAATAGTAGGAAAATGGTCACTTCCACATAGGTCATCATGGACTGACCATTCAAATTCATTTAGTAATCCTGAATTTGTGATTGATAAGTCGAGAGCAGAATAGGTTCCTGTACCAGGGTGTAAATAAGTCATTGTCTGAACAAAACTCCTCCAGTAGTTTACCTTTAGCGTTTGTATTGACACTACCCCAGAGTGGGTTGTGCCCATTTAAATCTCCCATAATAATACAGGGCTTCGGGAGTTGGTCATATAGAGCTTGAAGATCAGCTTTGTGAAACGTTGAAGACGGAGAGATATATACAGAACACAATGTAAACGCAACATGTAAAGTAATTCGCACTGCAACAGCCTGCAGATGAGTAGTTAGTGACACTGGGCTCTGGATAACATTCTTTTTGACTAAGATGGAAGATCCGCCAGTGGCCCTGTCACCCGGAGGTGAAAAACAATGATATGCATTGAAAGAACGCAGGACAAAATCATCTGTCTGTTTTAAATATGTCTCCTGCAGACAGAACGCTGATGGTGTTAAATCCTGGACTAAAAGCTGCAATTCATTGAAATTAGTCCTCTGCAATTCCACTGTAGGATATTATGCTGATAACCTATCTTTTAGGGGGATTTATTGGGGATCTACCCCGCACTTGTTTGGTCGGCGACAAGCTATGTGCCCTACTACGGACGTTTTCAGACACGTCCATATCCTCAAGAGATCCATATTTGTTGAATAATTGAATTTGATTTTCTGACCCCTTTGGGGCTCTGCCACTGAGTTTTTTGGTAACATCTGGCTTTTTAGTTTTGGTTTTAACGAGACCTTGTTGAGACTTTGTTGACAACTGAGAAGATGGTTCATGATCAGGGGATGTCTCTGATTGGGTTCGAGATGTACTGGGAAGTGAGTTTACAGTTTGTGTAGACGTAGCAGGCGAGACAGGTTTTGGAGATTCTGTTTTGACCCAGGTTAAGTCTGTCTGACAACTAGCAGATACTTTAGTTACTCTAGATGTTGCCTCAGCCGTTGTTCTGGCAATGGAAGCATAACTGTCTGTCTGTTCTGAGCCGTGGACTAGTTTCTTGGCATCTGCAAAACTAATGTTTTGCGTGAATTTTATTTGATTGATTGCCATTTGCTGTTTCCATACGGGACAGTCCTTAGAGTAAGCTGGGTGGTTCCCTGCACAGTTGATGCACACTTTTTGACAGTACTGTTACAATCTTCTGTTGTGTGTGTCTTTTCACCACAGTGAGCACACACAACAGACAATGTACAATATATTTACGCCGTAGCCAAACTTCTGACATTTAAAGCACCTGAGAGGGTTTGGAATGTAAGTCTCCACATTGAGGTTACAATAACCTGCCTTGAGAGATTTTGGAGCAATGGGTAAAGAAAAAAGAAAACAGATAAGTATTGGTTTTGATGGTTGTATCGTTTTTACGTGTAGAAAACGTTTAACATAAGTACACCCTGATCCTTCATTTCGGAAACGATATCTAGTTCCGACATGTCAGCCAGCAATCGCTCACGATCTCTTACGATTCCCTTGCTCGTGTTAAGGGTCTTGTGAGCCGTAACGGTGACGGGAATGCCGACAAAAGTTTCAGTGTTCAGTAGGTTGTTTGATTGGTGCCTCTTGCCACACTCAATTAACAACGCACCAGAACGTAATATTTTAACATTCTTCACATCGCCAGCAATGCCTTGGATACCTTTAGACACAGCAAAAGGATTTAGTTTTAATGGTGTATAATCTTTGGTCTGAATTACAACAAAACGTGGCCAGTAATCAGTTGGTTTGGGCAGTCTAAGTTCGTTGTCAACAGGGTCATTGTCAAGAGGACGTTTGGTTTTTTTGTTTGGAGTTTGATAAGCCATGGTTAGTTTTTAATCCGAGCTCCCCACCCACCACGGAGTATCACAAGGACAATGCTAAACACAAGTGGATCTCCAACTTGTAGCACCAAGGATACTCGGATGATATACTCAAGCAGAAAAACTAAAAGATTAATTTGTCCACCAGATTGGCCCATGAGCCACCGCCTTCTGGGTATAGTACTCTAGGCAAATTACAAAAATGAAATATTTACAAATTCAAAAACATAAACATGAAGCCAAGTCAGTTCAGAAAACATTTTCCAAAGTGTCGAAAACGTGTGTATCAAAATATACATACACAGGGCTTGGCATGACCAGCCGATTGATAGAACCGGGCCAGTTCTACCACCCGTCTAGGTGAAGTCAGGGCCGAAGTGGTGTGTTGGGCAAAGGAACATTGTTCCTGGAACCAGTGCCCTCAACCACCAGAATCCCGTCCTCCACCGACACAGGGGCGCAACCCACGGCAAACGGGTTGGTGGACCAAATATCCCCCGGGTCCACAACGGGGGGTTGAAGGACATAGGAAATATTTGAAATATTTACAAATTCAAAAACATAAACATGAAGCCAAGTCAGTTCAGAAAACATTTTCCAAAGTGTCGAAAACGTGTGTATCAAAATATACATACACAGGGCTTGGCATGACCAGCCGATTGATAGAACCGGGCCAGTTCTACCACCCGTCTAGGTGAAGTCAGGGCCGAAGTGGTGTGTTGGGCAAAGGAACATTGTTCCTGGAACCAGTGCCCTCAACCACCAGAATCCCGTCCTCCACCGACACAGGGGCGCAACCCACGGCAAACGGGTTGGTGGACCAAATATCCCCCGGGTCCACAACGGGGGGTTGAAGGGCGCTTGGCGTGACCCAGCACCCACCACGAGGAGGTGGCCCTTCATGGGTGCCTTTAAACAAAGACTAAAAGACATATTTGACCACGATTGGCATTGTAATGTACACTCATCTAAATATCTTTCTCATTATGCTCTTGTAAAATCGTTATTAGAGCCAGAAATAATTTAAATGTATTACATGACAAATCTTTGAGAAGAGCTATTTGTTAAGTCAGAATCTCCTTGCATGATTTCAATGTAACCTCTGAGCGTAAAAGTAAAAATTTAAATCCAAGTGAAATTAAATGTGTAAAATGTTATAGCAACCAGGTCGGAGATGAATATCATGTGTAATTTGTGTGTAAGCACTGTCGAGACCTGCGAAATAAATATCGTCCAAACTTATGAAAGTCTGTAGGAAGGAAACCTGTTTCTCATCTCCTGAGTAGGAATTCCACATACACTGTAAATAAAGTTTACATTGAATTAGAGACATTGTGTAACACACTTTCAGTATAGATTCTCTTGCAACCATAATACTAATTTTCTTTTAAATTTGCACTAATAAAGTAAGTACTTTTGTCTTAACAAAAGCTGAGAGGGAAAATAGATATGATGATAAGAATAAAAGAATGTCCTTGCAAACAAGTGTTGATTCATTAGGTAGAAAGACATATGCAGTAATTGGAACAGAGCTCTTTTTTTCAAACTGGAGTGCCCAAGTTCAACAAAAGGGAGCCAAGAATAAAAAAATTATTGATTGTCTGTATTTTATGTACCATGTGTTGGTCTCTCCTTCACTGGCTTGGTCATGGAGGATGTCCCCATTCTCGATTTTGGGGTAGCTGCTTGCCCGCTTGGGTTCTCTAGTCTTGGTCACAGCATTTTTATATTTACGAAAGAAAACCCAGATACATTGTCTGAATGAACATATTTCCCCGATTTCCCTTTCTTGAGAGTGGGTTAAATAATACCTTTAAATATCACTAGCTGCCATGAATCAAGGGGTTCATAAATACCTCGGTTTTATGCCAGTGTTGAGTTGTTTGGTAATTTTATGTTTTATTTATTATACATTGCTTTCGAGAGAAAAAGAGACATTTGAAGCATGCCCTAACCCACCCCACCCCCACCAACTCACATGCCATTTTAACATAAGTGACCAGTTATTTCAGCATGTTTCTCTCTCTCTCTCTCTCTCTGCCTCACCTACCCACCATTCCCCAACCACCCACCCACCCCCACCTCGGGAAATAGTTGATTGTTGACTGGTCCCAAACAGTAGCAGTGGATGTGAAAATACATCTCTGATCGAAAATAGAACATGAGCGCAAATTATGCCATACTTTTACATTTACACCTGGAAATTGTTTTATATAGCTAGCTCCAAAACAACTACATGTTAAGATTAGTTGACATTTTGGCCTCTGTGTTTTTTTGGAATGTCGAGAGGAATGCCCGATAAATAGCATCCTTGTAAAGGTTAGGTTTTTCCTATTCGTATCAATATTTCGCCAGAAGTTCCGGATCTTTTTCATAGCACTTCTTCCAAAAGTGTAACGAACAGAAATGACCGTGCGTGGAGGGATTCACAAAGTCCGCACGATGACAGTAAATAGTCTATCATGGACTCTACTCTATGTCCTTCTTCTTGTCAAATAGAATTTCCCACAATATGTACATCCATTTTGTTTGCAGAATTGGAAATCAACAAAACTTGAAGTGTAGTTGTCAGTTTCCAGTACGTAATCACAGCAAAAAAAGCTTCGTTCAGAATATTGCGCTTGGTGTCCCTTTCAACTCGAAGGCGTATAAGCTATAGAAAAAAGTCAACAGACGAAGCGGACTCTCTGGTATGACGTCACAGCCATAAACAACCAACCGCTAAAAATATAAACATGCCAACGCGATGTCGGGCTAATGTGGTTTTAGTTTGGGTGCATATTAATATTTTTTACGATTTTTTCCAAAAATGGATGGTGCAGGATGTAGTATATATTCATATTTGAATGACATTATGTAATAAAAAAGCATAACGTTTAACGTTTTTAAAAAAATCCTTTCCCATTTCCCAAAGGAAATTCAACTTTATATGGAAACAGATCGGCATAAAAGGCAGTTCAATACCCACTTCTTACTAAAAGCTAGTAGACGATTTTTGTGTTTCCCGGTTGTTTTAGGAAAATGTTCAGAGTATAAATATCATCAGTTTCTTCAATTTTACACATAAACAATATAAGAACATGATGTTACAAGCACATATTCTATTTCAGTAGCTGCTGAGGACATACTGACGAGTTGCGCATGGGTTTGGGATGAGATTGCCAAACCATCTGCAATTGTGGATACTGCTTCTGTTACTTGCATTATCAGGTAAATTTTATTATTACATGTGACTCTTACCAAAGAAACCATAATCATGTGTTCATTCTCAGAAATTTTTCCTTGTCCCTACGAAGATAAGTGATAAGAATCAAATACTGTATGTGTGGTTCCTTTATTTACGCACGGGCGTTAGATGGAATTGATATGCACAGATCAATTATCATTAAAATGCAATATAAGTTTGTGCGTGTAATGGACCCTAGCTCATATGTGCCTATTATCTCATTCTTCAGACTGCAAAATACACTGTGGTAATAACAAGTGGGGAACTGATTGCAGCAAATCCTGTCCGGAGAATTGCAAAGACCTGGAAGGTGTTGTTCACTGTAACATTAGTACTGGTGAATGCCTTGAGGGCTGCATATGTGGCTGGTACGGCGATAAGTGTAGCATTCACTGCAATGTGAACTGCATACAGGGAATATGTGTCCAGTGGAATGGGAACTGTTCATTAGGGTGCAAAACTGGTCAAGTTTGCAATATAACATCTGACAAAGGACACGACTGTTGCGGTAAGTGCACGTTTTTCGTACTTAATCTGCGATTAGTTTAAGAAGATGTCCTATGAAAACGTTAAATTGTGTACCCTGATATTGAAAAAATGCTCAACTTTGAGTGTGAAAATTAACAGTGGGAATTAAAAGTGGCTAAAGTACACCAAGTTGCAAAGAAGCTCAATGTCTTTAAGCTATTTCAATACGTACACTTTCAAAATACTTTGGAACAAATTCTAAAACTTACATTTAGATTGAAAATCCTTTTTTGCATGATGTGCTAATAGCATGTGAACTATTTCACAGTATATTAACCCAAATAACATCAATGACATTCCATACCAACCATTATGGTTTAATCACAATTTCACAAATTCATTAAACTACTTCAAGAAGTTGGCAGATAAAAGGATTATATATATTAGGGATATTTGTGATGAAACTGGATTATTATCAATAGAATCTTTAAAATAAATATATGGTACCAAAGGTGCTTTAGATTATAGATATTTACTACATGCATTACCTGACTCTTGGAAAAATACTCTTAACCACTGTCATTGAATACCAGTCAGGGATTTGAATGTTAATCAATGCCAGACCATCTAAAGGCTGCAGGATATTTAATGATAAACGTATTTCCAATGATATGCACCCAAATATTTGTAATGGCAGCTGTTATTTCCTGAAACAGACCTTGATTGGAAAAATATATTTACAGTGTACAGAAGAGGATTGCAAGACACAAAACGTATAGATTTTCAATATAGATCTCTACAAGGTGTTATTTATACAAAAAGAGAATGGCTTAAAATGAAAAAGAAAACGTGATAGCAGTCTATGTTGTTTCTGCAATGATGTAAATGAAAGTTTGTCATGTATACTGTGAATGTCAGTAGACACACACTTGCTGAAAAACCTACAAATCTGGCTTAACAATTTATACACTCATCCATTGCTATTATCAAAACATATGGTTTGGTACTCTACATATATAACAATATTTAAAAATATATTACTAAATCACATCATCATTGCGACAAAAAGACATATTTACATATGCAGTAGTACAAATATAACATTATTTACAGAAAACTCTGAAAGACATTTTCTTTGTGGAAGATCATATGTGCAAATATATATCTATATACATATATATAGAATAGAACATTTCAATCGTAAATGGGGCCTTCTCTACCCAGTACTTTGATGATTTGAAAATGTATCCATATTTACGTGATATCATCTTTCTCTTTTAATGACTAATATATGTTTAGTAATATGATATTGACACAGTACCTGTACATTATTTATCTGTATGTACCACAGTTTTGTACATATGACATTGTAATCTTGGGAACCAATAAAACAAAAAGTGCACCAGGCGGTGGATGAAGGCCATGGGGATGTGGGCCCATATGCATGGACAATGAGCACCTAATTCCACTGCTGAAGTAGGCCTTGGCTGCAGTGTTTGCAATTCTTTTATTTGCCTTTTGGCCACCAGGGCCTGCTGCCGCCTGCAGGCTTTAAAACCTACAGGCCCTACAGAAATGAAATGTTCATTTGTTAAAGTCAAACCAATAACTACTACACTGTACACAATTTCACACTGTTTAATTCTGTCATTATGATAACTAATACAACACAGGAAATGTGGAATGACATCAAATTCAAGTAGCTAGTAAGCTACAGTGAGGATGCTAAGTCAAACAGCTCCTGATCATCACAGTCACTTCCTGAAGTAGGCATATCCTCAAAGTCAGAGTCTTCATCCTGGACAGTGTCAGAATGTTCCTGTGCATGTGGCATGTATTGTTCAGCCTGTCCTCCAACTTCTCCACTTGTGCTTCTGGTCTCCTTTTGGCTCTTTTTGGAGCCATTCCAGTGGTGAATGGCACCAGTGGGGTAAAAACACTGATGTCAGCATAATGAAACTTTGCTCATAATAGTTGGAACCTTTTGACTTTTCAAATGATCCAATGTAACCATGTGTCCATAAGAAGATCCGGAGTTTTCAGTGCATAATGTTTAAAATTCCTACACTCAGTTATGATAGGTCCTCTGGAATATGTCGTGTAAGCACCATGGTCGGGAAGTCTATCGACAGTGGCCCATACGTTGATCTACAAGGTCGGCAAAACATTGGATTTTCGATTCTAAAGAAACCGCTCTTTGAATTCCTCTCCCCATTTAATGTGATAGGATCGTTTCCTACTAGTACTGTCATATTCCTGTTGTTTTTTTAGCACATCTTCGTGTGCTTGTTTTTGTTCTTTGGCCGGTGGCTCGACACCCTGTACAAAACACGGAAGGGTGAAGGCCATTTCAAAGTTCATTCACAGCACTAGGCGTTATATAAAATCAATTAGTGAAACCTATGTCACAGAGAGAAGTTTTTATTTGTTAAAGACTAGTGTTGACATTCCTATGCGCAAAGCGCTGAAATACCAGGAAGTGAAACCGTAAGTTACCGTAACATGATGGATCCCAAACGTTAATAAAGAAATATATTAAAGGGAAAGATTCCAGATGGAAAACAATGAGAGATAATGTACTGAAGGCCACAAGAGCCTGCAAATATTTGAACTGCCAGCCTGATACCCGTCGCTTTGCCTCCGGGCTGGCGATTATTTCCCACGCTGCTTGGCTGCGGATGTAACCGTCTTTAGGACTCGTTCCACTAGTGTTCTATTGAACTCAGATCTGAAATGAGGAAAAGCCCAGGCATGGTGATGTTATGCTGCTGTTATTATGTCTCAAGGGACTCTAGCTCTATGAGGACAAAAGCGCTTTGACACCATTGTCCCTGCTGGAAAAAAGTTTTGGAACACCCTACACCAACTCTTTGGTTCAGTCGAATGCTGCCCCAGACTTTGTTTCGTGGCCTCTTTAAAGTCCACAAGCGTCTGCACACCCTGACCCTAACATCAGAGAAGATGACGTTCCTTCATTGCTGATGATGCCTATGTCGACGCTGTGTTGCAGATCAAAGTCGTTCCCGAATTTGTCTGTCGGTAAGCAGTACACGGACGTGAGGAAGTGTTCATGGAGACGGTGGCTACGCATCATGCGATCATGTCTAGGCGTTGTAGCTCTTGGTCAAATACCCTCTGCATTCAGGCATTCAATCGACCTCATTCTGCATGTCGATCTTGATTTGCATGATGTATGTTTGCATCCACTTCCACCGAGGGAGTTTTGTGAGGACGTATTTCCGCTAATATTATTTTTTGTCGCATATTTTCGTTAAGGAATTGATGCAGGTAAACGTTTAGTAGTACTGCAATGGGGTTCCTGCAGCAACTTCGGCTGGTGATTGAATTGAAATGTGTTTCCCTCTCCAGCAGCCATGAAAAAATTGGTGTTAAATGTTGGTGCGCATGTGCGTTTTCATGGTGGAAGTGGTTTTTTTCTGGCATTTTTTACATGTAGCTGTAATATTGAGCGATGACTTTATGGATGGGTTCTGCCATAAACTCATTGAAGTAGGCTACGGAGTAGGTTGAATACAGGGTGGTGCAATCTCTGGTTTCGAGGCTATAATTGACAAAAGTATCCATGACACGTTGTAACCGATCGGTACCCATGAGACCTAAAGTATCGTACAGGGTGGTGAATTTCCCTCAACTTATTACTCGAAGTAAGGCTGAGTAAATATCGAACCCATTGACGTCCACCCTGACGCGCCTGAACAACCGTTTTTCAATCAGTGTCCACATGATGATAGCTATATATAAACGAATCTTTAATAAGGCGGTAATACCGTGTCGTGTGGGACAATTTGCAATACCTCTCTGACGAACCCTCTCGGCGGCCCGTCTTTTAAGTAGTACAAGATCGGTTCGCCTTCTTTGATGTCGACCAGGTCGAGGTGGTACGTTTTCATGGACCATATCGGATCGGTGGCCCGTTTTCTGCTCTCTCCTTCGTGTTCGCCTGGCTGGTACAAGTACCTAATGCTGACCCAACCCGGTAATGTTTTTTTCCGATCGACATGCTGCTGCTGCCGATTCAGCCGTGACTGTTTCATTCGGACGGCTTTGACGGGTCTCTTGCCCAGGAGTCAGGTGACTTCCTTGTTGATGGCATCCACCACTCGCGGCAAGCGTACCACCCATTCCGTATTTCTGTTTTGTGGAGAGGTTAAATCCTGTGCGTACTGGTGCGAGAACAGGCGTTCGGCCAAGGTGCGATTGAACCTCTCCATGATGGCTTGGCTGCATTGAGCTCCAGGCACGCCTCGTCGAACCTGGACTTGGTGCTTAGCCAGCAGCTGTGACACGGTTCCCATAAACTCGCGTCCAGGATCCGCTTGCAGCTTGGCTGGCCATGTCAGCGGACTGCGTTTGTAGGTGCGTTCCAAGGCCTTGGCCACTTCGTTCGAATCTTGTGGGTTTTACGCCTCACCCTGTGGTGTGGGAGAAACAGGAAGTCGGCTTGATGGATGCGATTGGGCGTTGAAATGTCGAATTTTCTTCTCTGGATGTATTGGGCGCCGGCAGGTACACCTGCCAGACAGCTTGTTTTTAAAGCCAAGCTTTGGCTTTTTCTTCGGAGACGTAAGCGGCTTTGGCGAGTTTTGGGATGGCAGCCACGCCTTTCCAGTATCCTTGTGGGCTGTAATAGATTTTTTCCATAATTATGTATTGTTCACGATTTTTTTTTTAATACAACTGTGTCCAGTTACGAACAATCCATAGTTTGTATCCATGGTTTTATTGATGGTCAGTCCGTATACACACGAAAAAAGTCCACATTTACAAGCTTGGAAATGTCTTGGAAAGATGATGTTTCCAAGACATTTCCAATTTT